ACAATGATATTTAAAATCCAAAAATTTATTGCCTTAAATAATTGGAATAATTAAAAATTGAATTAGTCAAATTTTTTTGTAATAATGCAATATTGTATGATTAATTTGAAAATGAAAAATAATTGTTGCAATTATTGAAGCATATGCTAACATATAGCAATATTGATTGATTTATTAAATTAAATTCATTTAAAAAAAAATTAAAATAGATAACATTTATCAATCTTTATCTATCATTGTTAATTTTTTTTCTTGTGATTCTAAATAATCAATCAATTATCAATATCTTTCAGCATTATTATCCTCCCATCTAGATAATCTTTTTTTGTTTTCTCTTACCCTTTCCTCTATCTTTCTCTTCCTCATTAATTAACTGATTAATTAATCATTTGACATATTGTTAATTTCAGGTGCATGAATTATGTGATAATTTTTGTCACCGGTATGTAACCTGTTTAAAAGGTAAAATGCCAATGGATATTGTTGGTGAGGAACGTGCAAGCAGTTCACAAACACCTGTTTCACCTAGTACCGCTGCTCCTTCATCTAGTCCTTCTATGAGTACATCGATTGGGTAATGCTTTTTTTTTTTCTTTCCTCAAAATCCGGAATGAATGTGCATGCAAAATCCGGAATAAATGTGCATGCAAAATGCAGGATAAAAATGTATGCAATTTTTTCGGCGAAAAAGCTTTTAATTTTAAAAATTTTAAAATTTGTTCATTAAAATGAGAAAAAAAACATTACTTGAATTCGAACTTATCCATTCATTTCTTTTTTAAATTATAATCTTAATTAATTCTAATTAAAATCCTTTACAGTTCACAATATCAGCCAGCTCCTTATGAACCACAATCTGTACCATTACCCGAAAATACAACAGCAGTCTCATCCGGACATGACGTTAGTAATTGTTGAATTTGAAATATTATCAGATCGAAAAAAAAAAACAAAACAAAAAATTCCAATAATCCAAAACAGGGTCAGAGTTCACTCCTTATAATTGATGAATTATTAAAAAGAAAAAAAAAAGGCGAATCATTTAATTTAAATAACGATTTGTTTTAATTATAACTATGTTTAGTTTAGTGTTAAAAAAGAAAAAAGAAAAGTAAAAAGTAAAAGTTAAAAATATTAATTGCATCAAATAATCATTTGATTCAAATAATTGATTACATGATAATCATATTATTATTTTAGATTAATTAATTAAAATTTTTACTAACTTTTAATTATTCTCATAAAAATTTCTTCCATAATTTCATTTAAAACATTAACATCCATTTCTTTCTTTCATTTAAAATAATACAGTTAAAAATAGGCAAAAAAAAAAAGAAAGACAAAGAGGGAGAGAGAGAGAGAGGAGGAGAGAGAGGAGAAAAGAAAAAAGAATATANAA